GTTAGAAAAAGAAAGGGAGGCTACCTTGTCTTTCTAGAGAGAGACTAGGAAGGGAAGTTGTGAGCAAAACTTCACCCTCCTCTCCTTTATATAGAGGTGAGATTTTTGACACAATTTTTGCCTCATTTTCTGAGAAAAAAAGCACAAACCATTTTCTTAGAGGCCCGATGCAAACATATTACAACAAGCCCGAACCGTTATTATCATAACTTACCCAAACATAACAATAGAGACGGATCATACCCGTAGTGGTTCAGGGACATTCTAGACTCGGCTAACGACCATCATTGACAAAGCGGGATCCGCTATTAGTGATCAACGAATTTCCAAACATCTGGTCGCCAATTTTAACATTGATCGCTTATACCTCAACACCACCGTGATTGATATTGCCAAGCTGGGGACTAACTGTAGGGGTCAAAATCCACCCCTTGTAAGTCAATGTCTAAAAATTGGAAAAACGTTAATGGATTTTCTGCGGAAATCTCTTAGCAGGTTTTTTCGTGGAATTTTTTAACAGAAAATCCGCAGAAAAATCTCATCTTCTGGTTTAACCCGACCCGTAGTTAAACCATAAACTGAACCCACGAGATGGAAACATGCCAGCATTGGACCGAGCCGCGGGAATGGGCCGCAATATCTAGAAGTGGGCCAAGCCGTGAAAAGAAGTCTGCAGCATGTAGCCGACTCCGCGGAGAGAGAATCCCGCAGAGTAAGAAAAAGATCTTTATCTCCTCGACAAAAGCCATGGCCGCGGAAGAAGAAGATAAATATGTTTATTAACCCTCATTGAAGGGGATCCGCCGTTTGACAGAGAAACCATTGTAAAAGCTTTGAGCAAAATAGCAGTAAAAACAATCATCTTATCTTCTCTCATTGTTTGCTTTCCGTGATTCGTAGCATAGAAATCTCTGTTCCTCAACCCTAAAATAAATTAGATTGTTCGAGTTTCGACTCCCACATGAACCTATTAGATCCACGGTTGGAGATTGAGGAGCGTCGAGCCCAGGCTTACGCCAAAACTCAAAAGGTTCGATCGATTATTGGAGGAGTTGCAAGTAAGTTCGTATTGATGATTCATTGTTTTAATTTCTGAATATCATGCTGATGTGTTTGGGTTTCAGGTTGATCTGTATTGGCTTTTGGACTAGATCAAATGGGTTTATGGTGAATTTATAGCTTGAAGAGGTTTATAGACATGGATGTAGGCAACAACTCATGTTGTTTGGGGTCTCTTGGTACTTGTAGTTGGAAATTAGTAGTAATCTAAGCTTATTAGCTTTTGCTTCAGTTAGAAACTTCGTTTGGATTCATATTTTTGCTTATCTTTTCGATGTTATTGAAGAGGAAGATAGATACATTTCAGACCCATTGATCTACATTTTATGTTTGCTTTCGGATGTCTTATGCAATTGTAGGCGACGAAACTTTTGGGAAGGGGTCAATAACTAGATGAGTGAAGTNATAATTTGTTTTCTTTGAGAAATTGTATACGATTTTTGCTCGACTTTTAGGGTACTGAAGATATCTATGGACAGGTTGCAGAATGAACCTGATTTAGCAAAGAGGTGCAAGAGTGTGGTCCGAATTCAAAAGAGTGTGTAATTGTATGAACAATTTAA